TACAGAAAGCTCCACCAGCAGGATAAGCCCCTCCCCCAAGCGGCTGTACCGCAGATAGCAGCGAGAGGCACCAGGGTGAGACGAACAGGAAGCCCCAGACAGGAAGCACGAGTTAGTGAGTCAGTAGTTTAAGCCGTGATATCCAACTGACCAGTAGCGAGGGCTCAGACGAGCGCTTCTTGGGGGTGGGGGGCACCGGTGACTTTTTGGACACGTCGTCTTGGAAGGGGATGGTGGCGCTGCTGTGCAGGTCGGCGCTGACCAGCAGGCGGCTGCCCCGGATGCGGTCCACGCCGCGCACCAGTCTCTCTCCGGCGCCGGACCTGTGGGGGAGCGGGGTCTGGGGGGCCTCCTCCGTGATGGTGGGGATGCGCTCGTTGCTCAGGTATCTGTACAGCAGGTCCTCGCCTGAGGCAGAAATGACGCAGATGACCGGACTGGCACAACGCCCCCCCCCCCCCCCCGCAGCACCCTTCACTTATCTGGCCAGATTTAATAAGCTGAAGCATTCCATCGCTGCTGAGGTGGGGCCCCTGTTTTGCTAGGCGGGCCCCTGCACTTAGCTGATTTCTCAATGACATGTTAGGGAACAAATTAAAAATCGCTACCTGACCCAAAATGTGGAATGGCATTCCTGTGATTTATTGTGGGGGGTGGGTGTTTGAGCGGTGCACCTGTGAGCAGAAGGTCACCGGTTTCAAATCCCAGGATCACTAGTGTTTTTTCCCCCATGACTGTGCCCCACAGCACAACCCTTAAATGCCAGTCACTCCAGGGACAGGCTCAACTTGCCTTCTCAAAAATGACGTTTTGGGTAATAGTATCTCCTACATAAATTTCATGTAAAAAAAAAAAAAAAATAAATGATCAGACAATGGACATTTGTATTAATGTAGTGTGCGGGTTGGGGGGGGGGGGGGGGTTCCCCGATGTACAGATCATGAGCAGGACAGTGGTTGAGCCACCCCTACTGGTCTGGACAGTGTCCCATCAATTTCATTAATGAAGCTCAACTAATAGGTAGGAGGACGATGGCTCTCAGTTAGGTTACATCTATATCCATGCCGAAGGTGTTACCTTTTCGTCCCGAGGTCCAGGGCTTGGAGAATGGATCATTCTGTACCAGGCAGGTGTCCACTGGCATGGACAGAGGGCGGGGTTTACCTGCGAGGGGGAGGGAAGGGAAACAGTCTTATAAATATCGCTCTTCGATTTATCATTTCATGATAGAAACACAGGAGTGCCAGAAAAGCTAAAGAGTGGGTTTTTAATAAATGGAAAAAAAAAATAGGATCTATCCCATCTTCCATGCGCGCTCGTCCTATGCAGGGCCGGGAGGGTCTGGAGTCGGTCCCGGATGCTATGGGCACAAGGCAGGGAACAACCCAGGATGGGGCACCAACCCACCACACACACAAAGCAATTTGGTAACTCCCACCGTTTTTGGACTGTGGGGGGAAACCAGAGAGCCTGGAGGAAACCCCACGATGTCAGGGGGAGAACATGCAAACTCCACACACATGGAACCCAGCTGGGGACTAACTCTGATCCCAGAGGTGTGAGGCAACAGTGCTAACCACTGTGCAAAATAAATTAATTTGGTTTATTATTTCACATCCACGTGTTAATATACGGTACTTATGATGCAGCGGGTCGGATGCTAACCGCGTGACAGCATCTGCCCTCTCATCCGCGGCTGCACGACGTTGACCTCGATGGGCTGGACGCCCAGCTTATCGTAGTCAGCGATGGTGAAGCGCCGCCGGCTCTCCTGGTCCAGGAAGGAGTTGGGCGACTCGGAGCCCTTTGGCCTCACATTGATGTTGGTGTACGAGCTCCTCATTGCGTCTCTTCTCGAGCAGGAAAACAGGATCGCAAGGAGGGAGGAAGAAGCATGTCAATGAAAACAATGCTACAGAGGAAAAGAAACGGACTTTCGTCATAACGGTGTGGGAAGAGACGGCGCGACTCAAGACTGTCAACAGATAAGTCATTTATAAAAGCTATCAAATTGACGGTAGAAACCTCCACTGTATCAAACACGACATATTCACTAGAAAAGATCCTCTCTACCCGAACCTCAAACCACAACCATGGGAGTAACATGACAAGGTCTGATTGGTGGTGGGGGGGTTGTTTTACCTCGGGGTATAAGGTACAGATGGAGGAGGCGGAATGTACAGGTCTAAAATGGCTGGCTTCTCCATCTTGAGGGAGGTGTTTCCTGTTCCGGCTGGAGGCTGGGCTTTGGCCAGGGACGGGGTGCTCTGGAACCCAGAACAATGCAAGACGGGCAGGTTAGCGCTCCTTCGGCAGGCAGGCGGACACTCTTTCACCAACAATTCGCTGGGTTAAAGCAGCCCGTCTCCTCAGCTGAAACAAAGATTTTAAGCCACCCTCCTACATATTACACCTCTAACCCATCTGGATTCAAAATACAACCCAAGGTCACAGCAGGGATTTATCACAAACAAACATGCAAAACAAACAAACATGCAAACAAACTGAAGTGTGGAATACTCCCTCACTAGCCAAAACCTTGCTTGTTTCAATTGCCCTCAGTTGGGGGGGGGGGGGTGGGGGTGTTATCAGACTGTTGTCTTCCCAGAACATTGTTTATGTGCTCTGAGATATAGCATCTCACGAATTGGTATTTCCTGTACAACTGCACAGATTAAACATCCTTTATCAGTGTCTTTAGCACCTGCCTCATGATCCCTCACAAAGGCCCTTCGAGTCGACTATCACACAATGGGTGGATTATAGTGTTTGACTGCTGCAGAAAGGTGACTAAGACCCTGCATGACTCGCCTATGGGGAGAGAAGGTGCTTCACACCACAGGGAATTCACGGTCTAGTGGGCACTTCTGTAATCACCCCTCCCACATGCATCCTGGGCCCCCATCCAGACGTGCCATTCACGAGCTGGGGGCTGTACACACTGACCCAGGCAGAATGACGCAACTGTCCGGTATTGTGCCGCTAATTTAGGAAAACAGAATATGCCCTATTGTTTGGCCGCATTACACAGCCCAGATTTGTTGCTGCTTGCCCCCCGCCCCCCAGCCCCCATCTCTGTTTGGGTGGCCTGTATACCTGCCTGAGCTTGCATGCTCCGGTTCCACAAACAAAACAAGTGAAATAAAGAGCTGTGCTCCAGTCAATACAAGGCGTGGAGGAGCATTTAATCTGGGCCAGCCCAGGCAGATGCAATAAGGCAGCGCAGTAATCACTGACATTAGTCTGCACTGGGGCCTCTCGTCGCTGCACAGGGGTGTCTGAGCAGGGCCCGTGAAGCCTTTGCTTGAGGCAGCAGCAGTGAAGCTTTGTAAATACCAGAAGGGGGCGCCCTAGGCAGCCGGTGAAGTCACTTATAGGATTAGCCGGCCCCGCGCTTGGTTCCCGGCCAGGAAAATTTGGAATGAGGAAAATTTATCGGAACTTAAAACTGTAAACTGAAGCCATGTTGGAGGAAGGTAAAAAAGATGGAGTCTATGTACCTGTACCAGGGGGGGCTTCCAGCGCATGTTTTTCAGGGGGGCCGGTGTGAAACCAGTGGTGCCGGTGGGCCTCTTCTTCAGCACCAGTCCCACGCCAGCTGGGTCCTCCCTCAGCTTGGCCACCAGGTTCTTCAGCTGCCAACCCACCTGCACCAAGAGTGCACAAGTTCAGCAGCTTCCCTCCCACAATGCATCTGCTTTGTCTACTGACACATCTAAAACAGCAGATACAACCACTATCATCATCATCATCATCATCATCGCGGATAGGTATTCACCTGTGTATTTGCACTATTGCAATATTTTGCACTGCATATATGTACATTGACGGACTTCCTGCTTGTACTATTGCATTGTTTTGTTTTCAATCCAGCATTTGTTGTCCAGTGTCTCATTCAGCTGTTCTTTGTTCTAGCTGTCTCTCTAGAAATTCAGTTTCTCCACGTGCGTGAAATGACAGTAAAGTGATTTGACTTCGTCGTCATCACCGCCACCAGCCCCTGTAAACCCCTTCAGATCCTGCTTTAGTTGAGGTAGGGAGCAAAACCATGGACTTTCTGTGGGTCACTGAGGACTGGATTAAACACTGGTCTAAAGCAAAAAAATAACCATTATAAAATGCCATCATCACCAAAATTCCCCTGTTGGCTGCTTTCACTGCATGGAAAGAGAAGCGGCAGCGGGAAGCGTTTCAGCGTGTCACTCACCACTGTTTGCTGGTTGACCTGGATCACTTCGTCTCCTGCATGGATTCTGTGCGTCCGGTCAGCAGGAGACTAGAGACACAGCAGGAGGATGAGTACAGACCCCCCCTGGCCCTGAGCTTATCATGAACACGACGCATCCACAAGCCAGAAAAACAGGCCTAAACAGGGCCTGTTCCGCTAATATCCGCTCCGCAACAATGGGGAGGACGGCGTTTGTCTCTTGTGGGGCGGTGGGAGATCCCCAAACATCCTCAAAACAACGGTCTGAACAATAAGCGATGTGCACGAGCTTCGTGCAACCAAGAGACGGCCCATTGTTATTGTGATAAAAAGCCGCTTGTGTATACATCTATAAAGGAGCAGAGCACCATGGGAAAATGTATGGAGCCACGGTTAATTGGATAGAAATTCCACAGCTGCGTGAAACTCTGGCTAATAGGCCAAACCTCATTTCTGGTTAATTATGGACCCTCAGAGGGGGAAGCCACTTCAGTTAGGGATGGGGAAGAGAGACCCCCCCCCCCTCCCTCGCCCACACATCTCCTCTGTCCCACTTAATAAAGAACAGGTTAGCGTCTGCGGCTCAGCCTGAACCCCTCTATTAGTGAAGTCCTTCCTCTCCCACAGACATGCAGACTCAC